CGGTGAACATTTTTTTTCTGGATTTTAACGAAACCCTTGTTTCAGTACCTTTTTGATATTCAAAATCATATTCCATTCGAATTGTGCGATCATGATGAAATGTTCTACAACGAATACATTTTTTCCCAACAAGATCCAGTACTTCAATTTTTTTAGGAGTGTGATTTTCATCTAAATATCTTTCTGACTTCTTGTCATCTAAAATCATATCTAACCATACTTGTTCTTGACTAGACTTGTCATCCAAGTAACTTTGATCACTTGAATCACACTTATGTTAAGTTGTGGTGTTGAGCAAAATTGAACCTATCTTTCGAAACCAACGAAAAAGAAGCCCTTCGATGCTCATCAATGAGTATTCAATTGTAAATCACGGGATACCATACAAGCAATTCGTCATCACTCTTGATGTCGAATGAAGAGATCTTTTCCTAGGATCGTTCTGCTTTCGTATCAAAAATACTTTGATATCACAATCTCCACATTTTTTTGAACTTGCTTCTCTCTTGTTCTTTGGCACACAAATGCACTAAAATCATTGAGGTTTTCGGTACTACTAATTCGAAATTTAGATTTTACAAAGACTGGCATATGACTTCGCTTTCAAATCCCAAAAGGGAATGAGCCTTGCCTCCAAGCCAAAGTAATGATGTTCTCTTGGTGCCGAAACAACAAAATGTACGTGGTTCCGGTTCAAAAAATGTGACAGTTCTTATCCAGTTAGGAACAGTGAAAGTTTTGATAGACATGATGGTTCATGATTTTTACAAGATACAAGGAAAACATGATGATCATTTTAATGACATGGAGCTTTTTACGGAGCCAGTTAAGTAATCAACACAATACGTGGTAGAGTATTATTTGTTATCAGTTCAAATTAAAAAATGTCGTCGATCATAAATGGAAATTACTGATGTCATTCTCAAACTTTATGCTCTCAGATCAAATTTTCCCAAAGACCGCAAATTATTCATTATCTTCAAACAATTCTACAATCTCTGCAATGGCTGCTCCTCAAACAACTGTTGATCCAACTACAACAACTAATGAAGAAGAAGTTTCAGAACCCATGATGAAGATTCAAAATACTAATCTTCTTTTGGTTCCAGTAACTGATCAACATTCGAATCCATTACTGATGCTTGTTCAAACCATAAACAACTATGTATTATCAACTACATTGTCTTCTTCATTCGGAGTTCCAATGATGGTGATTTCTCTTGCTGGTTCCACTACTGTTTTTAACATAACAATTAAGGTCACCATGTTTCAATTGAAAAATTAAAAGACAAGGAAGCTTACAAGGAAGCGTTTTGCCAAAATCCCAAAGTTGCCTGTATCAGGTACCTTTTATGAAGTTTCTACTAATCAAATACTTCATATGTTCAATTAAATGGGGCATCAAATAGTTTTGACCAGAATAAATCATTTTAAGAAGTCAAGTCTTCCTTGCATATGGAATTTTCTCTTTGGAATCATGTTAAGGTGCTTAACAAGGCAAAGCTCAGTGCTAGATAAAGCTATCCTGGAGATTTATTCAGTTATCGATGGGTTGTATTATGGTTTGGATGTGGACTATGCCACACACTTGTGGGATGAGTTTGGAACTGTAATAACACACACCAATCTTGCTAATGGTGCTTTGTGTGCTAGATATTGGAGTCTGATTTTGAAAGAGGTTTATCAACAAGAGGGAATTTTGGTTCCTTCTAATGTCGAAGCTGTTAAGTTTCTGACTATGGCTGCCCCCAAGGATATTTTTGGATGGTTAAGATATGTTTCCATCAGTTGATCGAATTCCGTATGCAATGCTAAAATTGGTTGATCCTCAAAATCGACACTATTTGGCTTCTATTGATTCTACTATATCGACTGGTTTTCTTCCATCAAAAGAGCATGAGGGTCTTCAAAATATTCTAAAGTTCCAAAGAAGAAGAAGCAACCTGAGAAACCACCAACCATGGATGAGGATGTTACGAAAGAACTTCTTCCTTCAAAGTCAAGAATCCTTGAGCATGCAAAGAAACCATCAAAGAAACCCAGTGATTCCCCAATCAAGCAATTTGTTCAAGAACTAGAAGTTGAAACTATTGAGCAAACGCATGTTGATTCTTCACGCACTTATTCTTATTAGAAGGGTATCAAGAAGATTCGAAAGCCTCAGTTCAGCAGGAAAAGAGTTGTGTTTAGAGAAGTATTAGTTCCTATCTCATCTGCATCGAAAAAGCGTTAAGCCTTGGATATGGCTTATAAGCTACAACAGAAGAAATGAAAGCACTAGGATCCACTTGATCAAGTCGCAATCGAAACTAATCACGACAGTGATTGTGATATTCACAAAGAAGATTCTATGTGTCACACCCCCAAACCGAAATGATGGAATCGTTCGAGGGTGGAGGATGTCATGTAATGTATCACAACAATTGCATTATAGTAATCAAAGTAAACACAACCATTACATTAAGATATGAATATTTACATTTGTTTGATTCATTGTTTGTAACATCAAAAATGGCAAAAATATAAAGACGAGACTCTGAACGCTCCGTCTTCTGGAAGTTGGTGAGAGCAATTGTCTACCGATTTCCTGAGAATACAAGTAATTTTGAAAGAGTATCAACATAAAGATGGTGAGTTCATAAGATGTTTTAGTAAAAATCTTGTCAATGAATCTCAAAAGTTGTATGTATGTTACGCAAGAAAATCCAATATTTTCTAATGTGTAAGTTATGTTTGAAAACCCTGGCTACCACCAGTATGTATTGTATGTTCTATATGAAAACCCTGGCTACCACCAGTATGTTCTATTTGTAAACCCTGGCTACCACCAGTATGTATAGTATGTTCTGTTTGAAAACCCTAGCTACCACCAGTATGTAGTGTATGCTATGTTTGAAAACCCCTAGCTACCACCATCATGTATTGTATGTTCTGTTTAAAAACTTCTGGCTACCACCAGCATGTATTGTATGTTCTGTTTCAAAACCCCTAGATAACACCAGCATGTATTGTAGTTTTATTAATTAAAATAAAACCGAGTAATGTATCCCTGGAATCCTCCAGTGTAATGTATGGTAGTTTTATTAATTAAAATAAAACTAATGAAGAATGAAATCTCATAACGAAATGTTAGTTTATACTATTGTGAGTTTGTAAAACCATGCTTGATATGACTAGTGACCTCAGCGACGTTTCTTCAGGTGTCGCACAGTATGATATTTGTCACCTCAGGCATGCCTGCCTAACTGTAGCTAGCAATTTAGGTGTGGGAATGTCAGTCCTGAATAGATCTTTTCACTAATCTCACGCTCTCCCTCCAGGAGACTCTGGTTATACTAAATGTTGAGGATTTTACGAGTACCCCGAAGGGTACAAATGAAGAGTTGTATCATAATCCTCTATTAACTAGTTTACGTGTAGTTCTGTATCGTGCTGTCATAATTGAAATTGTTTGTATACTTGGTAGAGTATTAATAATTACACTTCAATAATTATTTAGTGATATACTCTTGTTATCCGAATGTAGTAATGAATATCATAAACTAAATCTTTCAAAGTTTATTTGTTGTCCATGTATGCAGTTTGTATAGGTAAAACTGGTAATAAATTTCCCAAACTATACCTATTATAGTTTAACTGAAATGTTATGTTTGTGAATTGTTCTGAAAACTATACAATTATGCTTAGAAAGCTTCCCTTATGCTCTGCATAATACAAAAGGGATAAAATATCTATATATTTTATGAAAATCGTTGGACTATACCAATTGCATAAGTTTTAATCTTGTTGAAATCCTTTTTGTTTTAGTTCACAAAATCATTTGTGTTTGGCTTGTATTCCCCCCTGAAAACGTTTAAAAAACCATAAAAGCGTAGGGGTATGAACACAATGTTTGTTTTGTGCAAGCGTTGAACTGGAACGAAGACCCTCGAGTTGTTGTATATGGCACTTAACGGAATCCTAATAACAGGTAAATACATATATGTATCTAAATTAGCGATTTCGTTAGATAAAGTGTTAGAAAAACACTTATTTTCGGTTAAGGAATGTTATCACGACTTGATTGAATCGAGGAAAACGGTTTTTCACCACTTTGGAAGTGTTTACGGCCGTGAAAAGGGGTTTACGGCCATGAAGAGGGGTTTACGGCCGTGAAAGGGGTTGACGGTCGTGAACTCCTCTTGAAGGGTTTACGACCCTTTACGGATTTGAAGGGTGTACGGCCATACACTCAAGAACAAGGGTACCGGGTTTGATGAGAAACGTGTTCCAAATGCTCCAAAATCAACCCCCAATGATGATTCGCGATGATTTTCGGAAGAATATGAGTGTTTTTAGTGTTTACGGTCAGTAGTTGAGAGAGAGAAAGAGAGTTTTCGGCCAAGAAAGTTCAAATGAAGGTGGGGGTCCCGTATATATAAATATATATATATATATATATATATATATATATATATATATATATATATATATATATATATATATAAGTTAGGGGTATGGTCGGTGGTGGGGTCCACCTGGCACCAACCGCAAACGGGTTTACGATAGTAAACTCGCCCTGGCCGCACACTAGTTGTTTTTTCGAAAAAGTTTGAGTTTTTCGCGCGATTTTTGGTTCGGACTAGTATATCATTTTAATTATATAAAACTAGTTGATTTTCTAAACCAATAAGTTTAACGGAAATTAAATAAATTCAAATTTTATTAACGGAAATCGATTAAATACAACGGAAAAAGTTTGGGGTTGTCACATTATGCTTTGATCACCTCGAACGGATGTTCCTCTGAAGTTGAATTTCAAAGCGATGGGGGATCCTAATGTCACTATAAGCATATCGAATATATATACAAACATCAAGTCGAACGATCATACAACAACATCCATCCTTAAGAAGACTATGGTTATACCACCCGGAGTTTCGCATACCAAGCCCAATATAGAGGAGGTTTGAACTCCAGCCATCCCTATAAACTTATCTGATAAGGAGACAAAAGTCAAAATGGGTGAAGGGGTGCATAACAACGAATCCTTTGTTACTTTTACCTTTGAAACTTCAACCATCCATACTTCAACCATCATCCCATCGACAATCAAAACTTATATAACTGAAACCTCCATTGCTTTAACACATATGGCATCACCTTTAACAACTTCAATTCAAGTTTCAACCATCTCACCAACATATTCCATAATCATGCATGATCCGATCACCACTGTATTCTTTTCTCATCCTATTGAGGCTGAGAGAATGATTCCTGATGAAGAACCAGTTGATGATGAGATCACGGTGTCCTTTGTTAATCTTCAATTTGATCCTGAGGAAGAAAATGATCCTGATGACTTGATTATGCCAGGTAAACAGTTCAAAATCCTCAACTCCAAAATAAATTTTCTTCTTCAACTACAAGCAGATACTGGGGGAAAGAATTTTATGACCGTGGTCGAGATGAAGTCTTTGTTGAAAAAACAAGAGAATCACATTCAAAGTTTGGTTGAAAGCATTGAGCAGAAATAAGTTGAAAGGTTATCAGTTCATTCCAAAAGCTTTGATTACGAGATTTAGCATCTTCGTGACATAAAAAAGGAATGTCATGGCATTTTTGTTGAACAAGTAACAAAAATGAAGGAATCTATGGATATCAAAGTTTTTGAACTCAAATCGGAGTAGTCCAAAGAAGTTCAAAATATGGAGCAAAATTACACTTTGTTGCATACCAAAGTCGATGTCATTGCGACTGGTATCACAAAGTTGGTTGAGTTCAACACTAAGTACTCAAAAAAGCTTTAAGCGAAGTCCAAAAAGGATTCTCAGGTGTTTAAAAAGCTGGAAGAGTTTTATCTAGTATCAAGGAGTCTATTTCGGAAGATGCTCTTTCAAACCAATCATCAGTTTCTAAAGAGTCAACTTCTCAATTGGTTTCGACTATTGAGACCAATATCAAGTCAGAACTGGCTCCAATCCTTCAGTTAGTTCTTTAATTTTCAACTAATGCTCCATTTGAGGTGTAATTGTCACAAGGGGAGAGAAGGATGTAGAGGAGTTGGCTCCTCAAAAGATTCTAAAAAAGGGGTTGTTGTTGGGAAGTTGAGTTTGACTCAAATTCTAATTTCATTTCCCATATCATTGACCACGAATTCTACAACAACAACTACAAGACCAATAACAAAAGGGATCTCAATAAACGTAGACATAGAAGGATCGAGTTCAAGTTCAATTCCACCAACTTCGAATGATGATCCAAGTAATAAAGGAAAAGTTATTTTTGTGGTTATATCTGAAGAAGAAAAGAAAAAGCAACAAGCACTTGAAATTGAGAAGCAAATGCAAATCAACAGTATCATGAGGCGAAGACAAAATGACCCACCTGGCTTGAATAAGGGTGATCCCAGCAAGCAACAGTGTTACAAAACGATTAAGGATATTGTTTCGGTTGGGTTGAATGACTACTTTCGAAAGTATCCTAAGAAGAGCTTGTTGGGTTTTGAGCATACTAACACTCCTAAGTGTACATGCAACCCTAAATACCTTGGATCTATGTTTTCTATATTATACATGCAATTATGAACATCCAAGGTATTATCCTAATCTAGCATACAAAATAATGAATATAACAAGATAGAATACATACCTCTTTGATGTAAAATGGCTTCATGAAGCTTGAGTGCCTAGTGCCTCAAGTGTAACACCTCAAATGGTTCACACAGCACCAAATACACTTAGAATAACTAGAGAGAAACTTGAACACTCCTAAAATAAGCTATCCCTTTCTTATCATTCATAGTGGCCGATTTTTTTCCAAAGAATATGATCTTATATAGTTATTACAATTAGGGTAAGCCCTAATTGTCATGACCTTCCATTTCCTTGGATCCATGGGTTCAACTATACCATGGACCATCCATGCACCATCCTATGGGTTTTAGCCCAACTTGATTATCCATGGAGTATTAGCCCACTATACAAGTATGGATGATTTACACAATCAACCCATATATTTAATTAGTCTTCTTTTGATCGCTTAATTAATTCTAGATTAATTCTTGATCAATACTAATTAAATAATTCTATCAATATATTAGAACTTATAATATATTAATCAACCTTAAGTGTTATTTCTCTCATTATAGTCTATCCAACTGCATGATGCCATGCAACCCAAATGGATCATGTCGGGTCGGGTCAAGTATTACCAATCATTCTCTTTTTCCATCTGTTGTTTCCCGATTTCTGATTCATGATGAATGACTGATTGAACAAATCAAATAAGTCTTGGCTTGGCCAAGCACTCACATGTGTCATCACTAAATCATCGAAGGGCCCATAGATATCGCTTTTATCCCGAAGGTAAAAGGAATGGATAAACTTTGACTCATATGGCTTGTTCTTCTACTTGTTGAATCATACACAAAGGCACGTTTTATAACATCGAGTTACCAATGCGTTTTTGTGCAATCAATGTATAACCAACTCATTGTAACAAGTCATATCTCTAGGTTTGAAGAATATAAGATATTATCGCCTCATGATCACTCGTGATAAAAATCCATGAAGTGATTCCAATTAGCGCGGGTTGAATCCAATACTCAGAACATATGAGCACTCATGAGTGTTGTAGCACAACTTTGTCCACCAACTTGGACCTCTACAAGCCAACCCATGACAGTCTTGATTCATAAGTACTTCCAACATATGACCGATTGTGGATGGTTTGAATAACTTAGTCATTACAGAAGAATAACCTAGTTATTATGGAAGTCAAAACATGCAAAGTGAAACACAAGAATAGATTAATCTAATATGGTCTTAGTGTTGGATTAATGTCTAAGTCCATAACTATAATTGGTAAGACTTGACCCGACCCGGCATGGTCCATTTGGGTTGCATGGCATCATGCACTTGGATAGACTAAAATGAGAGAAATAACACTTAAGGTTTGTTAATATATTATAAGTTCTAATATATTAATAAGGTTATTTAATTAGTATTGATCAAGAATTAATCTAGGATTAATTAAGTGGTCAAAAGAAGACTAATTAAATATATGGGTTGATTGTGTAAATCATTCATTCTTATATATGTGGGCTTGTGATCCAAGATTCCTTATGTTGGACTATGTCCATGGGGTGACCCATGGATACTCCATGGAGCTTAAAATCCATGGACCATAAGGAATGGGTAAAGTCATGGGTTACATGGTGTAACCCTAATAGCCACCATATAAAAGAAACCCATGGCTAAAGAAATCCTGACTAACACTATGTGTATGTATGAGGGCTACACGATTTCATGAAGTGTTCTAATTTCTCTCTAAGTTATTCCAAGTGCTTATGGTGTTGTGTGAACCATTTGAGGTGTCACACTTGGGGCACTAAGCACTCAAGCTTCATGAAGACAAGCACTATCAAAGAGGTATGTATTCTATCTTGTTATATCCATTATTTTGTATGCTAGATTAGGATAATACCTTGGATGTTCATATTTGTATGTATAATAGAGAAAACTGTTGGATAAGGTGTCTAAGTCCATAACTATTTCTGGTATGTACTTGACCCGACCCGGCATGGTCCATTTGGGTTGCATGGCACCATGCAATTGGATAAACTAAATGAGAGAAATAACGCTTGGAGATTATTAATATATTATAAGTTCTAATATATTAATAATATTATTTGATTAGTTTGATCAAGAATTAATTTATAATTAATTAAGTGATCAAAAAGATAACTAATTAAATATATGGGTTGATTAAGTAAATCATCCATATCTTGTATAGTGGGCTAAAAGGCTCCATGGATCATCAAGTTGGGTTCCACCCATAGGATGCTCCATGGATGCTCCATGGGAGTTACAAACCCATGGGTCATGGAAATGAAGAGTCATGACACATTAGGGTTTAACCCTAGATGTGTCAACACTATATAAGGAATATGATCTCCTCCCAAATCGGTTACACTAAGTAATAAGAGGGCTTGGCCGATTTTGAAGAGTGTGTATTCTCTCATAAGTTCTTCCAAGAGCATTTGGTGTTGTGTGAAGCATTTGAGGCATCACTACTTGAGGTGCTAGGCTCACAAGGTTTCAAGGAACACAAGCAACAACAAGGTAAGTTATTCTATCTATACTTTATGTTAAATTGTTCCCCATGTATGCTAGATAGGAATATAACCTTGGAATTCAACTTTGCATGACAAATTAGACAAACATAGATCCAAGGTTATTAGGGTTGCATGTACACTTAGGAAGTGTTAGAATGCTCAAAACCCATCAGTGGTATCAGAGCCTAGGCTTGTTGTTCTTATTTGTTCTTAAAAGTTGAAAACAGAATCGAAAATTTGCTGTCTGCGATCGGACTCGTCGAGTCCATAGGGGGACTCGCCGAGTCCATGTGTCTTCAACCCAACTCGGCGAGTCATGTTCATGCACTCGGCGAGTAGGGTCGAATGAGTGCAGAATTTCGATTCAGTTGCTGGAAAATGAATTAGAAACATTACCCTAAACTGTTTTGGTAATTGTAAACTTGTTTTTGTGGTGTAATGTTTTGCTAATTCATTGACAACAACTAGTTATCAAAATTACAAAGTTTTATGTAATTTTTGATTATGTTCATATTCATGTTCTTGTTCTTATGATGTTTTAGATGATCATAGGAATTATTTGTAACCTATTTGGTAGTTTAATTCTTGATCATAATGTGTTTTAATGGAGTTCATAACTTATCCTTAAGTTATGGAAAACCAAGAGTCACACTTGAGTTAAAACCATTAAGAAAACACAAGAGTTATAAAAAATGAAGAGTCTTCATTTTATGACTCTATTAAACTCATAAGTTACAAGAATGAAAAGTTTTGAAAGTTACAAAAACTTGCCCTCAAGTTTTGGAACAAGTAAAGTTAAGTTAAAACTTTAGTTCCAACCCCTAGAATTTTAAAAAGTTAAAATTCAACCCTTATACTTATATTATGATGATTTAATATTATATATATATATGTATAAGAACAAGTCGTCTTACCGCTAGTACGCCTCATTCACGAAGTCGGTCTATAAGGTGGGTATAAGGTTGTTGCCTATAAAATGGTGACTTAATGGGTGTATATTCTCACCCACCGCTTGCTTGACTGGTGGAGGGTCGTTAGCCGAACGGGTAAGACAAGGACTTATAAATTCTCATTCAAAGTATGATGAATATATAAAGTAACTAAACGTTTTATTAAATTCCCAATCTTAGTTACTTTAGGAAAAATGTGAATAAGGTGCTAATCCATGAAATTACACTTTACACTTTGTCTGAGTCGTTGGTGGAGCGTGTGTGGTTAACCGGCACACTAACTTGGACTTAACAAGGTAGGTAAAGGGTGACTTAAGGTATATTATAGTATCGGTGGAGCGTGTGTGGTTTACCGGCACATCGATTGAGTGATAAACTTTAAGGGTACCAAGTGATTTGCATGGTTACTTCACACCTCGTTTTGTGATCCTCGGCATCCCAGTCACAAACATGGAGGGCACTCTCGAGA